GCGGGGAGCGCCGCGGGCTCTCCAGCGGGAGCCATGGGCCAGGACTTGCCGTGGCTCAACCACTCCGGCAGCCCCCGGGCGGCGGGCAACGCCTGTGCGGCGGAGGGGCAGCACGGCGGGCCCTTCGCCGCGGCCACCGCCGCGCTGCTGGCGGCGCTGATGGGGCTGCTGGTGCTGGCCACGGTGCTGGGCAATGCCCTGGTCATTCTGGCGTTCGTGGTGGACCGGAGCCTCCGCACGCAGGGCAACTTCTTCTTCCTCAACCTGGCCATCGCCGACCTCCTGGTGGGTGAGTCCCAGGGCGCCGGGAGGGGCAGAGGGTTGCGGTCCGCGGCGCTGCACCTGTCACCACCGAGCTCTGTCCGCAGGCGGCTTCTGCATCCCCCTCTACATCCCCTACGTGCTGACGGGCGAGTGGAGACTCGGCAGGGGCTTGTGTAAGCTGTGGCTGGTGGTAGACTACCTGGTGTGCACCGCCTCCGTCTTCAACATCGTCCTTATCAGCTTCGACAGGTTCATCTCTGTCACCAGAGCGGTAAGGGCTGGGCAAGTAGTCCTGAGGGTGGTCTGTAGGAGCTCCAGGGCTGACGTTTCAAGCAGGATGGTTTGCCTAGGTCACCTGGCTCTCAACCCCCTTGCACCTCACTCAACCACCACAGGAGACATGGGGTACCTAGACAGTTCCCCTCGGTCCTGAAAATATCAGCTTTGGCAGAAAAGACATTTGCTCCTCACTTTTGCATTTGGAAGAGGTACTCTGTTTCAGAAACAGACACTGTTTGTATATGCTGCTGTTCTGGCTAGAAGGGCAGAGGGAACAAGGTGTACTTATTTCCTTCCCAGCCACACCTTGGATAAGCTTAAAAAGTATTACCCAGCTGAAAGAGACCATCTCTCCCTCAGAACATGGCAATGCACTTGTTGACAACTGATAGCCCAAGCCAGCCTAGCTGCATCCCAGCTGCAGCACAAGGCAGAGATAGATCTCCTTGCAATGCATACCAGACTCTCAGGGAGAATTAGATGTATACAGCTGTGCATGGTTCAAAAGTGGCAGAATATAAATGAACATCTTTCAAAGGATGCAAACGCTATTTCTATGTAACAACTACAGAAATAGCTAGAGCCTTACCTCAGTCATGCTGTGTGTCAGTTATCGGAAAAAGGGGTAGACTAGGCTTTGCAAAATCAAAAGCTAACTTCATTTTCACCTAGACCATGCTGCCTCAAAGTATTTTGGGTGGTGCAGAAATAACACATTTTACCTGCTAATAGGTTTCACTCTTCTACACACACTTGATTATTCTTCATCCCCCTGTTCCACCCACATCCCTTTAAAAGGTTAGTTTAGCTGCATTGCTCATTCTAAATCACACTAAGAGGCAATGATACTTTTTTGGCAGAGTATAAAGAGAGGCTGCAAGATCACTTTCATGGTTTATATGCAACTTAGTGTTTTACCAACTTCTTTTTGAAGAGGGAGAAATGAACAAATTAATTCTTAAACGGTCAACACTTACAATTCCTTTATTTTCTAGGTTCTGAATTAGCCGTGAATTTTGCTTTCATAAACCAAACTCATGACTATACACATAGTATAAATATATAGACTGGATGGTTTCAGAAACAGAAAGGGAAACTGGTCATAATAAATGAAAAAAATCAGCCACTTTAAAATACTTCAAATTAACCCTCCATATAGAAATCCCTCCCCAAGTAAGAGTACAGAAGCTGCCTGTTGAGTTAGGGCAGCATAAGAACATATGAACAGGAATATATGAAGTTCTAAATTATTCTCTATTTCAATGAAAATAGTAATCTTCCTACAAGACTGCTCCTGAAATCAGTAGTAGCTTTCTCAAGGATTGCAAAACCAGACCCGATTCAGACAAACTCAGGATTCCTCAGCTGTGTGGATATTCTACCAGAACAGCATTGGCTTTGGAGATCAAGATCCACAGACTGGGGCAGTAAACATGAATCCTATACAGAATTCAAGCTGACGACTTCATATTCCAAAACACTATGTGGCCACTGTAGAGACTGAATTCCAATTCACTATATGAATATTGTTCAGTACACCAGGGAATTAGAATATTGAGAAGTAGAAGATCTTGATTTTAAGATTCTACTGAATTCTATTGCTGATATGGTTTACTGACATACTTTTTTTTTTTTTGCACCTTAGCTTTTCTATTTTCTAAATAAGGGAAATTAGTTACCACAACACTCCATCTATATATCTTAATTGCAGATACTAGTTCTGCAAGTACTTCATAAAAGAATGACATTAAGAATATCAAACAGAAGTAAAAGCTGTTATCCATTAACTTTGAGTGTGATTTTCACATTAAGAAAGGTGCTCTCTACAAAGCAGAAAGAAAAGACCTTGCATGGGTGTTCTACGAATTCAGATCTTACGTATTTTAAATTAAATGATTTTAAAATTCTAAATAAGTGAATTTTGAAGGGCCATGTTTTTAGACATTCTGTAGACTGGTGTCACAGCTAACGCAATTGAATATGTAAGCAACTGGTTACAACCAGTTCTAGGAATAGCAGTGGTTATTTGCATTGGAAAAGCCTTAGTTTTCTAGCTTTTCAGATCTGATGCACATTGTCAGAACATATCCAGTCACCTTGATAATGTTTGTTGGAATGGACATTTCAGAAATAGCTTTTCTGTGGTACGGGTAAGCTTGGTATAACCCTCATCCCTAAATCAATATGTTATCAACCCTCACAAGTGACAGAGAGGGTCATATTCCAAGGTAGCCATGTAACCGTTTGAGATACTAGTGATGTACGTGGCTTAACTTTTCTCTCTCTCAGGTCAGTTACAGGGCTCAGAAAGGGATGACCAGAAATGCAGTACTGAAGATGATCACTGTATGGATTGCTGCTTTTCTTCTCTATGGTCCAGCCATTCTCAGTTGGGAGCACATTGCCCAAAAGAGCATCCTCCCTGAAGGAGAATGTCATGCAGAATTCTTCTACAACTGGTATTTCCTAATGATTGCCTCTACTATTGAATTCTTTACACCTTTCATCACGGTTACATACTTTAACTTAAGTATTTACCTCAACATCAGGAAACGCACATCCCTCAGAAATGAAAACCTATCACCTGGCCAAGACGACTGTGAAATGAGTTTCCAGGGGAAAAAAAGGGAACACGCCGTATTTTTTGTAAAGCCTGCTAACAGACACAAACATGGGAAGAAGAGAGCAAGCAGCCTTTCTCCCCCAAAAAAGGCTTCAAGGCTCAGCCTACATAAGCTTGACAATCAGTCATTAAATTTGAATGTCAATCAAGACCTTCCACCGCTTCAGGTGGAAGTCGAGACCAAGCCTCATAGGAATGGTTTCTACAAAACTCCAGAAAGCTTATGCAACACCACCAGCAGAGTGGACATTGCTAATACTATGGCAAATAGATTTAGACTTTCCCGGGACAAAAGAGTAGCAAAGTCGTTAGCAATTATTGTCTGTGTGTTTGGTTTGTGTTGGGCTCCATATACACTTTTGATGATCATCAGAGCAGCTTGCCATGGGCACTGTGTGCAGTATTCACTCTATGAGACTTCATTTTGGCTTCTGTGGGTGAATTCAGCCATTAACCCTGTTCTATACCCACTGTGTCACATGAGCTTTAGGAAAGCCTTTATAAAACTCCTGTGTCCAGGAAAAGCCAAAATTCATCCTCATATTTTTATGTGAAAAAAAGAAAGTGGGAAGGCTGACCATTAGTACATCTTGCTTTCAGTGGGAGCATAAACTGGCTAATATTCACCTGCAAGTATTAAGTGCAATGTGCACTGGGTAGTTCATAGAATACTGATAAGTAGGTATTTATAGATGTATAGAAATACGGTCATCCGCGTAATGGAAATCACAGCAATGAAAAGAAAGGTAATTTCTCAAAGCTCTTTGGGAAGTTATGCCAACAGTATATTTTCTGGTAATGGTGAATTAGCATTAAAAGTGCTGAAGAGGGAATACAACATTCATGGCCAATAATTAAAGTTCAGGCTCTCTCACTTTTAATAACTGTAAATATTGCTGGTAAGGAATTTCATAAAAAGTGTTAACCTCAGACCTGTTATATTTTACCCCAAAGCCACTCTGAGATGCCAAGGGTCTCAGCTGTTAAGTGTAGTATGCTTTTTCCCCCACTTAGTGGGGAGCCAGACAAGGTCATGACCAATGCAAAAAACTAAACACTGGAGTCCAGGAAAAGCATGGGACAAGAGGCACCAGTACAGTCAGGATACCAGAGAAGCTGAGCAATTGTAGCAGATAAGGGAGCATTGATTTGAGCGGAAAAGGCAATTGAGAAATAAGAGAGTAGAATTTTTAGTAGCACTAAGTTCAGGGACAGGAATAAAAAAGGGGGTTGAGCTTTGTGATAGGAGATACGAGAATTGAGAGTTTAAACACTAGAAGAGTTTCACCATGAGTTTCCTCCCTCAGCTATGACTTCCTGCCCCCTGCCAGGATCCTGCATGGGCAGGAATCTACTCACGTCAAACCTCTACTCCTTACAGGACTGACAGGTATTACTCTAATTACAGTTGCTCTATACTTACAGCAGAAGATAGTCTACAAGATCTATGACAGACAAATCTTGCTACAGACAGAGCTTTAGGTAAACTTCCCTTGGAGTAATTTTTAAAACTTTTCCAATTAGTCTTTTACTAGTTCTGACTAGCTCTGAAATGAAAAAAAAAAAAGTTGTTTTCCCCTACCCCACCCAATGGATCTATCCATCCATCACGTCGCCAGCAGTCAAAAAAAAAAGCATTACTTGAAGTGTTTAGACATTTTCCAAGTCATGCATAATAGCATGACTCAAAAAAGTCTGTTAAAATCTACAGCCTTACTATTGACCATGAGCATGAAAAACAACATGAACAACTATGTACTATTTCTGCCATTCTGCCTCTGCCACAAGAGAAGCTCACACAGCTAGATCCTGAGTTTTGACTAGGTTTGTCCCATAAAAGGTATCAATTTGAACATCACTGGTGATACAAGTTTGTTTCCACCATCATAAGCATTTTCTACAGATGCTTTCCTTTGTTGACAAGAGTGATAGCTATTGAACAGCCGTAGTTGTCCATTGCCACAGCCAAAATGCATGTTAGTACAGTTGATCTTAAGGTTTACAGACAGTATTTTGAAATTATTTACTTTGTAAAATTTTGGTAAAAGTAATTAAGAACTGTGGAAGAGTCATAACTTTGTAGCCTTAACAAGTGGTACATGGGAAAAAGCACTAGCCTACAACATTTGGGTAACTGCAGTTGAAACCACAAAACCATTATTCAAATATACTTCCTATGTTACAAGGACTGACCTTTAGGATTAAAAAAAACACGGTTAGCAAATATTGTAGACTAGGAGGGCATATCCCTACTATATGAATGTATCTACATGAACATGATCATCATGTTCTGCTATGGATGTTTTATAACAAAACAATCAGCTTACCGGTTCTCCTAAGAGGAACAGCATCAACAGATACAGAGCAACATTAAGACTTTTGAATAGCATTAATTACACCACTGGGCAAGTAAAGCCATTAGATTATCTCCCCATTTGTCCTCCCCTCCAAGCCAGACTTATACATCAGTAGATCAATGATCTAATTGTTGTCTACTCCATTAATTCTTGTTTCCTAGGATTGTATTTGCCTTTTTCAGAAAACAGGTAGCACTAAATTATTGGACACTCCCACCGAAGTCTCATTCACTATGCAATCAAGCCAGGACAATTTTCACAACAGTGGTCAACTCAAGGAGTAAGGAAGTTCAATCAGTTAGCTTTAGAACATTACATTCAGTTAAGGTAAACCAGACATTTCAAAGTTTTCAGCAACGGGCATTAACCTACAGACTACACCAGTCTTCACAGGAGTTGCCATTGGCAATTGCTCTGCAGCTCCATTTCCTACAGCTTTGTCATTTAATTGCCACTCATCTCTAGCACAGACCTAGAATCCAGCAGGATTCTCCACCAGTCTCTCAAGATATGTCATAAAGGCATTCGGAAATGTGAACGCACATCATCTCAGCACCATTTGGAAAAATACTGGGTTTGAATGATAAAATTTACATTAGAAATGCTAACAGCCTCCCAGCTTGCTCAGGTTAACTATGCCTTCATTCTTCTGTCCCTACAAAACAGAAATTCCTTTGCTTTTATCAGAAGGTTCAACATTAGCATTGGGTTCAACAGTGGGCTCTGAAGAGACATGAAACAACAGGTGTTAATAGCAACTTTATTGTTTCACTGGTGCAAAATCATGATACCGAATAAACTTGTGTAATGCATTTTCCCCTAAATTTACAGTAATGAAGGTTATACATATCTATATAGATTGCAATTTCTCTATTTTTATACTATTTGGAACAAAATTATCTTGATAAATACGCCCTGTGCACAGTACTGGCCCTCACTGAATGTCACAGAGCCTTAATATGCAAAATATAACTTCTGTTTTTGAACATGGTACTTTAAAACTCTCCAAACATGCATTAATATATTCTAGTTTTTAGGGAAAAATATTACACTTAGTCTTAACTTGCATTAAAAGAAAAGCACAAGCAGAATCTGACATACAATAATCCCAAAGACCTGATGCTCTGTAAGGATCGGGCACAGTTTCAGATGACAGTCGCTGCCAGTTTAGAACTCTAGTGCTACAGAAGCAACAGTGAACAGACAGAAGAGAAATCAGAACCAGAAGAGCCCTACCATGTCACGTGGATTTCAAGGAAAGTTTCAGCCATGCTAACTGATGAAACCTGTAGTTGCTGGTCCAACCTTTCAAATTTGTTAGAGCACTCAACACAAGTGTTTGAAGTGCCAGACCGAACACATGAATGTTAACTTAACCTGACATTTCTGAAAGGCACAACCTATGAATCTATCTTAAAAAAAAACATAGGGTATGTAAATGAAAAGAAATAAGTACAGTGTGTATCTTCCTAAAGAACAAGACCTTCATAAATTGGCCCCTCAGATTCTGGTGATTCCCTCCTCAGACGCAAGTGCTCCAGTGTGTTGTGAAAGTGTTTGTTAATTTGTTCTGTTTCTTCAGTAGACTCAAGGTTTGGGAGATCTTCTCTTATCTTCTGTATAAGCTGATTCAAAACCTGAATTGTCACCTACAGGAGAACGTAAACAGAACAGAAGTCCTCAACAAGACCTGTGTATAAGTGCATAGACATTAGCTTTAACAGACTTCTCTCTAAACTATTGGTATTTGGACAGTTCTTAGAAATATTGATAAGAATGCATGCAGACAAACTGTTGGAGACTGCCTTCTCTTGCTCCTCATAGGACCATTCTGATTTGAGTTTTGTGGAAATTACCCCCATCCCAGCAAATGTGAAGAACTACTGAAATCATTAACCTGATAGCTTTGTAACTTCTACCACAGCATTTCTCTCCAGTTTATTCAATATAAATTTAAAAAGCTTTACACAAATAAAGCACATAATCAGATTGTCTACGCTCTCTAACATAATCTGTTTCTTGCAGAAGTCAGTCAGGATGGTAATATTGGATTTTAAGTTATTTTTAGTGATCAAGTCATTACCTAGGAAAGTACAGCTGCCTATGGTGTTAAGTCCAGCACTATACAGAACCCGCAGCACAATATGCACTGCAGACCACCACTGTATCCAGAGGCTATTTTTACATCTGCCAAGTGCTTTGAAATCCAAAGTTTTATTTTCATCTCTATCAGATACAGCGTCTCCTATACTAGATCACTACTATAGCAGGAAGCCAGTTCAGTTGCTGTAAAGTCAGCAAATCCCCAAAATCTCTTTAGACGTTCTCTCAGAACTACAGGGTATTCATTAATGTCTGCTCTTGATCAAATGATGACATGAGATGCGATGTTGATCTCTACTTGACCAAGCAGCTTTTTCAAACTCGAAAAGTTAACTAGATATCTGCTAACAGAAGATGTATGAGGTAACCATCTCAGATTTCAGATGCAGAATTTAAACTGGTACATGAGATGTCATATCTATTTCTTGAAATTAAAGCTTACACCAAGCCTTTGTGGTGCACTCAGCAGTGACCTTGAACAGCTGTAAGAATTTTCTTTCCCCTTAGGTACATATTAAGTTAGGTACCTCTAGTTAGATGAGAAAGTATTAAGACTCTCAGTCCTAGTAAGTTTTGATCTAATAAATATTTCAGGTATCTAAGTCTCACAATATTTAAGTTTATAACTAAACCACAAGTGTTTGGTGTTTTTCCCCTCCATGTAAGAAGAATGAATTTTTATCGACAATTTTACTAGCATATCAAGAATTGACTACTCTGTTGTTATTACCAGAACTTGTGCCTCTTGCGAGACGCTACAGAGCAAGTTGAAGAGACATGATTTGGGGTGTAAGTGTGAATGAAGAGCTTAAAGAAATGCTCTTTAAAAAAGATGCAATAGAAAGAATGCATTTCCACTCACCGCCTCATTTTCCTTTTCATAAAAATAGATATATCTATTCAGAATTTCTATGAAAAGTTGGACTTGCAGAGAAGGGTCCATGCACTGATTTGCTATCTTCAGAGCCTTCTTTAGACACTCCATCACTCTTTTTCCTCCATGAAGCTAGAAGGAAAAAAACAAGTGTTACAAGAAATAAAAGAACCCGAGGGAGCTCCAGTAGCTCCCTTCCCTTGGCACATATATGGCATTT